CATCCGCTTCATTTCGTCGCGAATAATGCGAGCGTGCACGCGCTTGACTGACTCGTCCCACTTTCGGTCTGGCACGAAATGCCGATTTTCTTTCGAACTGAAGTGTCGACTTATTTTCAAATTCCGGCCGATTTTTCCCCCCAGATTCCGTTTATTCACATTTCGCGACGGCGAGTTCCGTTTATCCGCCGTCGGGGCGCGCGAAAGCAGATTGCTTTAATCCATTCGTTAGGTAGTAGTTTCGAGTATTGAGAACGCCCGATATTATCGATTGCTTCCTCAAAGCTCTGCCGTGTTTGACACCTTCGACGCTGCACTCTCGTTGGCCGGGATATTTCCTTCCTGAAATAAAACTAGGCGTATTGCCGAGGAGTGTATGTATGCATGTGCGCGTGTGTATCTGTACGCTGAAAGTAACGCGTCTCCGATGTTTTTCAACTCTCTAAATGTCGAGCTAGAAATGCGGCGAAATAAAGTTTCCGCAGTCGCGCAGAGTACTTGTTGATTAGGACGAGATTGCACGGACGTTGCGCCATTCGGTGATAACTGACGTAATAACTGACTGACGTAATTTCAGTCGCACGTGCGTGTGTGTTTGCGCGCGTATGCGTGTGTGCGCGCGTATACGTGTGTAATACGTCGTAAAATAATAACGGTCGAGCAAGATACTTCCTCCGGTCCCTAATAACACTAGGAGGCTAACGCAAATAGCAGTGTAGGGGGAATAACGGTGGAATAACGAGCGGAAGTTTGTGTACATTTGGCGGCGGCAATCGCGAAATGCATCGACTGTGTCGATAATAAACGTCGGCTGCCCGGAGGGCTTGAATTTCTCCGAAATTCGCGGGGACAACTTGCGCCATGTGGGCGGTGGAAAATTTGTCAGATTTTGAATAATTAATTAAATACCAATTTAATTAATTTTATTGTATGGTATGTTTGGCTGCGTGCACGCGTAAGTGCCGTTATGGAGAGATTGCAGTCTCCCCTCGCGCGGTCAATATATTTAATTCGCGCAAGGGACTGATCTGCATTGACCGTCGACATTGTTGTTTCCATTATGCGAATTAAATCGTCATAAAGGGATTCATTGAACGCATTGATCATTCAGCAACGAAGTCGCTCGCGAGTCCACGGAGAATGACAGGAGCGAGCGTCGCGTGGAAGAATGCAGAATTTTTCCCGCGACCAACGAAGATTCTTGACACATCAATACGTTGTTCTTGCTTAAGCCGGCTATACCCGATGTGACAAATGTAGGCGAACATAGGCGAACGTTGGAAATTATATTGATCACGTACGTTGGACGAATATATACACGCGATAATATATAATATAACATAACATATATAACATAATATAATATACGTGATCGATGTAATTTCCAACGTTCTCCTATATCACGCCCGAGGTGATCTCCGGCCGCGTTTTCGCGATCGCGGGCGCGATTATCGGCCGATCCGTTCATTCATCGGTGCGCAATCGCGTTGAGCTTTACACTGAGAAACCAAATTTCTCGTTACAAGCACCAGATTTGATGGTAGAAACCAAACGTTTCTTTTTCCCCCAACCAGATCGCGTTTGATTGCCCGTTTTTCTGATCGACCAAACTGTATTCGACGTCTCCGCGAATAGAACCCGGCATGAACTCGGAGGATCACGCTCGAGGTGCTCCCCGGACGCGTTTTCGCGATCGCGATTATCGACCGATCCATTCGTTCATTGGCGCGCAACCTCTGGTAAATACGGAGGGCCTCGCGACTTCATATCCGCTCGCGATCGAACTGTTTTCGGTCGGACGCATGCATCCAGGAGCCGGAAACATGACCGGCAAAAATTCGAATATCAAAATTGAAATATTTCCCGTTTTATCGGAAAACGGATAAAAACATGCGCCGGCCCCGGCTGTGCTGCTTTTCGTATTACGCGTTGTAAATAGCGCGCACCGTTACCGTTCCGGGAGACGCGCGCGCAAGCGGTTGCAGTCGCACTGGCAGCTGCAACGCGAGAGATAGATAGAGAGGTAGAAAGGGTGATAGAAATGCGAATAGTCGGGCGGAGCTATTACGAGCGGTCTTGCGGTTGTAATGGACGCCGCGGACATATGGACGTAATGGATGGAACCGTAATCCATATATTCTAAACATTATCATTGTTATCGCCTTCCTCGCTTCGCGATACTTGGCCTCGCTACGCGTACCCGGCTGAATCCGCGCGAACGATCCATCTACTTTTAATTCACTCACGGTTTCCAATTTCCTCCGGAACACCGTCGGACGATGACGCGCCGATCCCTGTTTAACGCTGATGTGAATCAACGAACGTGAAACACGCTCGACTCGCGTTACAGCGCGTTCTTATTGCGAATTTTGCGAAAGGTAAAATATCTTCTCGTTCGTTAACGTTGTTCGCGTGGAGGATTCTGTACCGTCAAGGTTTCTCTCTCTTTCTCCCTGTCTCGGGTAACATCGTCGCTCGCGTGTACGGTCGCAAAATTAAAAGAATGGTAACAATTGCGTCGCGTAAGCGTACGCAACCTGACAAATGCATCGACACGTTGGCGTAATCGTTATTCGGCGGGAGCCTCGAATCTGGATGCAATTACCGTAAAAATGATCCTCAGTACCCCCGGCGCGACGTGAACGTAACGATAATGAGGATCTACCTGCGGAGGAGCGCTGATTTTTACTGTTATCGGCGCCGCCTTAATGCAGCCCCCAATGACCGTCGTTTATTTTCGGGAGAATTCCGCCGTTCGTCGGCGTTAAAGCGCGTGATTTTCGAGAATTTCGCCGGGAAATTCGCCGGCTCTCCGTCCGGTGCAGAGCTAATTGTTATCATATCGTCCCCAATCGTTATCGGGGCGCTGCGGATCGCTTAAAAAGAGAAAAGGGGAAAAGTGGGAAGAAAAATGGAACAAAAATGTCGTCAGCCTCGTTCCAGTTAGAGGAGCCGCGTCGCTAAAACGCGAAGAAGAGGTCTTTGTTCACGATTGATACGCGTACATCGCGAATGCAGCACGCTCGTCTTTTCTTCGTGGAGTCCACTAATTACGGGCGTCGTGGCGCCAAAGCTCATATCGCGAGCATTTTTCATTCTCTGCGATCCTCTCTAGCGCGCTGTACGCCTTTCGAGCGCAGGATTTTATTCGTTATCACATGCCCGGTATTTTCATTTGCGGTCGCTCAAACATGCGACAGACGGCTGTAGCTGTAATCCCAAATGCGAACGTAATCCCAAAATCCATCCATAGTTTCGGGGCGCGAAATTTTCGTTCCGCCGTTTGGCCGGCGAAAGCACGCCGTATTTTCGCGCGTATCTTTTATATTTCTGCCCGAAACGTCTCACCGATACTTCAATTTCGTTACTTCCTCGCGATGACTATAACGTGTCCCTGTATCATTTTCCATTCCGTCCTAATCTGTCGTTTGCATTAGCGGGGAAAAAAATATAACTTCCCTGTTTCGATACCGTGCCAGCGTCCGCAAACGACGACCGGCTGCGACATTGAATATTCGATCGCTAAAACGCGCGTGACGGCGGCTCGCATTAGCGTGTTTCTCCTCTCCTCGCAACTCCCCCTCTCCCGTCTCTCGCTTCTGTCTCTCGGAAATTTTTCATTTCTCTTCGCGGTCGCGCTTTTACGAGCTTTTACGTATTTACCTGACGGATCCTCTGTTCTTTCGACGATCTCGCGCGAGACGACAGCTCCGCTCTTTGAATGCTGCATGCGACTCGCGCTTTAAAAGTGTCAATCGACACGGAACCCGCGACAATTGCGTGAGTCGTGACGTAACTGGCGTTTAACAGGATGTCATACTTCTTGATAACTTTAAACCGACAGAATACTGATTTTTTTTTTTTTTTTTACAAAATTTACGTCTTTTTCGTTGCACAGTATTATATCAATGCTCTGACACAGGTGAAAGTACGTGCTAAAACGAATTGGAACGTTGCGCAGTACGTGACGAAAATGATCATAAATTTCAAAATTGACATCTCTAGCTGTCAGCGTAAATGCTTATCTGATGCAGAAGTCCTGCAGCTCGTATGTACGAAATGTGTCAGTGCTCCAATTAGGGAAATTCCAGGGAGCATCATTATACCTTTTCAATCAAATTTAGATGCTTAAAAAAACACGAAAAGAGTTTGCAGAAAAATCTTTATACATCTTGGTTAGATTTTCCATTAGATAAGTTAAAACAAAGTAACGCACGTTCACCGCGTTCATATTTATATCGCACTTACACTTATGTAAAATTTATGTGTGATCAAGTAACTATTACTTGGTCCTAAATAAAATATTTTTCGAATTATCCAAATCAAATATTTACTTGATCCAAGTAGAAATTTAGTTAGCATTCGCTTAGTGACGGCGACGGGGTCTTACGGATTCGTCGTTAATCCTGAAACGCACGCGTCGTCGTTCAGGACTTAACGTGAATGGATTGATCATCGCGGATGCAACGGCCACCGGGCCAAATATTTGCATTCGCGGCATTAATATGATCATCGGCATTGCCAGCCGAATATATGACAATGACGGCGGTTTGACGTGTGCACCGTACGCGATTATTAGCCCGCCGGCTCGACACCGGATACGCCTGTAAATATTGCGTGATACTGCCGGCCCGCCGCTGCTGCTGTTCGCCAAAGGGGCCTTTGAAAATTCATGCGCCACCGCTCTAGCCCGGACCTTTGAATATCGCCGGTATTTATACGGAACGCCATTACGCGGCCGCCCGCGCCTGTTTGTCGCGAATCAATTTTTTCGAAACGTTGTTCGCACCACGGTGGCGGAATGTGACGCGCGTTAAATGGTTTAACAAATAAACTAATAAGATTCTGCATTTTTATTTCCACTAGTCTACAATTGAAATTAATTAATAATAATATTAATGAAAGGGGGAGAGCCTATGACGCAAGAGAAAAAGTCAAGAACTTCCGTTCTACGCAAATCGAATTAATCTTTAATCCGATCTTTGTTCTGTTTGTTGCAGATCTTCACGCGCTTCGGCAAGGTCCTGAAGATCGTCACCTTCACGAAGAACAGTAAGTACAGCATCGGATATCGTTGCATGATCACTTCAGAATCCGATACGCGCCAAAGAGAGAACGAGAGAGCGAGACTGTACATCTCGTCGGCAAACAGGCCATGGCACTTTAGTACTTTGGTAGTACTCAAAGTACATTCTGCCTGCATGTAACAATACGGTTAGGTCACCAAACTGATTATGTATTTAAACAAATAATCAGCCAGTAGTGAACTAGTAACGAGCTAGAAAATTGAATCCAGCCTCTATACTAGCTGGCTACTAACTTTCGACTCAGACCGGCTAGATAAATTTCCACTCGGGTAATTGATACATCTGTCGCTTCTTCTCTCTTTCTCCCGATTGAAATTCCGCAACGAAATAAATGCGAAACATACACAATGCAAACTCAATGAACCGAAATCTTAAGATTTCGTAAAACAACGCGCTCTCCCTTTCGCTCTGAAGCGCATTCTCAATCAAACTCGTGAACGGTAAATCGAATAACAGAGCGTACGCAATTTCCCGTTGCACCGGTTGTGTAAAAAAACACAAAGAGAGGCCTCCGGCATGCTCCCGGCGGGCGTGTTACGAATTCATGCCTACGGTAGATGAGCGCAAAAGCATCGTCCTCCGGTCTCTGTGTGTGTTTTTGGTTTGTGTGTGTATGCGCAACTATGTACTACGTGTACGCGCAACTATGCGCAGTACTCTTTACACAGGTGCACCGGTGTGCACTCCGTGCGGTTGCGCACACGCGTGTATTCACATTCGGGTCCTCGCCGGATTCGCAGAGGTCACCGGAAAATTTCGCGAGGCGAACGTCACGTTCGAAAAATCTTGATGAGAATGCATCTCATTCCGGCGGGAACAACGCACGCTCGAGGAAGTCGAGACAATTCCGCGCGCGGGACAAAATGCCGCGTTCTATTTTCGACGGCGATTCGACGCGTGTTATCCGCCCTCGCATCGGAAAATCGCGGCGCCGACTACGCGGAAATACCAAATGATATTTCATATTATCCTTTAAACAACGCAAAACAGATCACCCCGGTGCCGTAAATAGTACGAGAGCGAATTACCGGCGCTTTAAATGGCACAAAAGCGAATTACCGTCGCTTCAACGTATTATTCCGGCTTACAATGGACTTTATGTTTGAAGCAAGAGAGCTCGTAATGAAAAAAGAGAGCGAGAGAGAGAGAGAGAGAGAACAGAACTCTCCAACGAAAATTTTTGCGCGCAGTCACTGACTCGCGGCTGGCGAGTCAGAATTTATGGCAAAGGTAAACGTTATTGTTACGATTACTCGTTCCGCGGGTTGCGATTGTCGTGGTGGGATCAAAGGGCCGTCGGGTTTCTTTCTCTGACGTTCGAAATTCACAACTCTCGTCGACAGAGACGAGAGAGAGAGAGAGAGCGCGCTCTTCTTTGCCTCCGCATTTCAGATTCGAAAATTAAATAACGTGACCGCGGGCCAATCCTTTGTTTCGTATCCGTACGCGTTTTAACTAATGAAATATATCACCATACCGCCGCACAACGCGGTCGTTCTGAGTTCCTGCGCGAATTCGGCGGGACGGGAATTAAAACTCGCGAAATTGCAGCCGCCTGCGACTTGCGACGTTTCGTTTTAATCGAGATTTAATGACAATTATAAAGCCGACCGCGGCAACGCAGACGCTAGGAAGGGCGAGCGCGACGGAGCTCTGAAATATTAACTCCGCCAAAACGCCCGCCTCGCCCCCCGTGCTGGCGGTTTGCCTTCTTCGTAATTGTTTATCTTCGGGCGCCGTATCGCGACTGGCGGAATTGGAGCATATTTGTTACACGTCTCGTAACATATTCATTCGTACGCCCGCTTGCTCGTTCGTTCGTTCCTACGTTCGTTCGTTCGTTCGCCGCGGACATTAAATTAGCGCTCGCAAATAGCAATTAAACATCAATTTCATCGTTTTTCTCGTAACGTCAATTGTACGTCAACGAGTTATATTCGAAATTGAGATAAACAACTGATTCGCGTCACGCAACATTTCCTGTCTACTGTCGGTGGCATTTTGAAAAAAATGGATTCGTCGACGCGTGAAACGTGCAGGAATCCCGGCCGAGAGAGGATTCGCCGCGTAATTCCGCAGCCAACACGCACGCGCTTTTTTTTTTTTGGAATATCTTATTGTAACGTCATAAGGTTATACCGAACGTGCGGAACAAATTTGACCGCGAACATTTCTTTTAGTTCACACGAGAGCGGAATTAATCCGCGCTCACAGAAGGGCGCGACGGTATTCTGGGCTCGGAAATAAAAGAGCGCGCTGTTAGCGAAGCCGCGGCTGTCGTGTGCGTTCGGGCTTTGCTGTATATTACTGTAAAGAGTTCCATTATCACGGTGGAACAAATTCGAAAATGAAATAGCGTAGCCGCCGGCTGGAACTTTGGTCGACGTCGCTAACGGAACAATTCCGGCTTTTACGCGTGGGGGGAAACGTATTAACGTGACAGAGTTAACTCCTCTCCGCAACGTGTTCGCCCGCCAAATTAACGAATCATCGGCGTTTCGGGCGTTTAAAAGCGCGCATTCGAAGGGCGAAATTGCGCTTCGCCTCTCCGGCGGGAATCGTTTCCTCGTGTCTCCCGCGGCCGGTCGCACGCTTTTCGCAGTCGTGTTTACTTCGCGCTCTTTTACCTCATTCATTCGAAATGTATTTCCACGCTTTCTTTTCAACTGGCCCTTCGTTACGACGCAATTCTCGACGCTTGTGAACTTGAAACGCGGAAGAAAAGAATCGAGCACCGCGTGGCCGGGAAGTTAGCAGCCGCGAAGAGTGGCTTCACTTTTGCCTCTCTAACTAGCGCTTCATACGGTGACTTTGCGGCGACAAAATCAACCCTCGTTTGAAAAACGAACGCTTTCATTAAGCGAGCGGACAACCTGTTGTTCGTCTAACGTGAATGACAAAAACGCACCGTCGAAAGGAGTACTACTGTTCAAGTAACATTTACTCGATCCGAGTAAAAGAAATTCTGTCATCGGACCATCCCCTGCGTTTCGACATGCAACGTATCGTATAACATGCTTCATAGCGATCCACTACGCTACCGCCTGAGAGCTCTCACGTGTAGACATTAATATTCAGAATGAATTTATCAGCCGGCGCAGTCTTTCGTGATCCGGCGTGCGAACCGCGGCGCGGCTTAAAATTCACGTCGAACAACGTCGTCTCACGGTTTTTATCGCTTCTCTGTTTCAGGCTCCTTCCAGGCACTAATACAGTATGCGGACATGCTGTCGGCGCAGACCGCTAAATACGTAAGTATCCACTTGGCTTTTCTTCCACCCACGCCGCCTACGTCCTCTCCCACTCGTTTTATTTCTTCCTTCCGCCATCAGTGCGTCCGTTGTTCTCCACCTCCCGACCGTCCCCTCGTTTCTTCCGTCCCTCTCTCGCTCGTTCCTTTTTTCAGTTTCTCTCTTCTGTGCGGACGGTAACTGCTTATCCATCGCGTTCCCGCGGGACAGATCGAAATTTTCCGCGGAATATCTCGCGGTGGGAAAAATATATTTCAAGCTCACCGATCCCGCCGCTCTCCTTCCTGCCCCTCGTTCCGAAGAAAGGCGCGGCACAACGGTTAATTGCCGGAAGTGAGCTCGATGAATGCAATCGGAAGATTGATGGCGGCGGAAAAAAGAAATCGGACGCGCGCAGCGGGACAGACTGAGAAAGAAAGAAGGAAAGAGAGGGGGATAATGTGAAGATCGCACGCGCGCTCGCCATTCCTCCCGATGTGTACGGTATTTTCCCTGATTTATGAAAATGTCGGCTGCTTTACAAATCAAATTAATTCTCGAGGTGCGCACGGTCGATCGTTATTCTCGCACCTCTCGCGAATATATCGCCAATATCATAGACTTTGCCTGCCGTCACGTCCCGTTCGTCGTCGATTACACGTCTCTCCCTTTGTAATCCTCACGGCCGTTCGATCGCGAGCAAGAATCGCATCCACACGTTCCGACGATAACCACTTCTACTTTTCTTTTTTTAAGGAGGTTGAGAAAGCCGTAGCATTAAACTTGCCGCTGCTTAAGGTACCACCACTTGTGTCTCTGCACATTGTAAATTCTGTTTCACCTGTAATCCCCCCGTAATCGTTTCGCCCGTTAATCGTGAATTCAAGTACCACATCCCACAAGCCTGTCACTTCCGCTCTTCTCTCCCCTTTATTTTTTTTTTTTTTTTACGAAAGTCGAATTGCGGCGTTAACGCTCTGACAAGTGAAAGATGCGCGCACGTGTGCAGTTTTCCATTCTGAACTTTTGCTATTACGGATGATGTAACTAATTTGTGCCGTAAAGTCGTCCATGTAAACATTGAATTCAGTTTCGCTCTCTCGGAGGGTAAAAGAGTTTACATAATGCGAGAAATATTCTAGAAACTTTTTCGTTGCAAATCAAAGGTAGCCGTTCACTGTAAACCCCCTGGATTAATTTCGCGACGTGAAACGCCGTGAATACGAGAAACCAATTCACGATACAGAAAATACGAACAACTAGTCGTATCTTTTAAATAGAAAGTATCCAGAATAATTCATTCACGCGTGGAGTCTGCCTAAATTAACCCTTTCAAAGCCCTGGCTGTAAATACTCTAATTATGGCTTCATTTCTGTTTCTCTCGGTTGAGACCTGTTGTACATACTTGTGATTTACACTCAGCTTTCCCCGGCAAATTCTGCCGTCTTATGTGTGTTTGCGGTACCGAATAACTCTCTTGTGAGAATTTAGTGTGACGTAGCTATTTTGCCTTTCCCGCATTGAGGAGAATCCCTTAGTTCCTTCTAGAACGAAAGCTCTTTCGTTATTTGAAGATCTGTTAGGGAGACAGATCGAAAAGTGAAGTTTTATTGTTTCGTGATCTATCAGGAAAACCAATCGGGACGTTACTATTGATACCAAGCCAATACAAAAATGTCTGTTAGAGCCAAAAAATTAAAAATACAAATTATTTGCTAACCACCCACTACAGGGTCATTTGTTTTTCTTTATTTACAAACCATTTGTTGTGATACCTTGTTAAATTAACAAAAGTTTTTCTCTCAGTGCGAGTATAGAGTGTTTTCCACTAATTTTCCGTTCAAAAGGAAGCGGACAAAATAAATTCGCGTCCGAGAAAATGGCGGTCGGCAATCTGACGATCGCGCAGAAAGTGTGCGGGTTTGAAAGGGTTAACAGGCAGCCAGGGGCGTTTGCGCCGGAGTTGCTTCGCAGTGCGCGTGTGCGCACGTCATTTCGCGACGCTCATCCGTTTCGTGCTCGAGATTAATCGCAGACAGGGGTTTTACACGGGGGCAACGACGGACTCTCGCGAACGGAAACTGCCGCGTTCGAATCCACCTCCTTCTTCGAGCCCCTTCGCTTTCGCCCCCCGCTGCAAGCCCGGTGCCGCGAACTGGTAAACCCGCGCGGTGATCAAAGGGAAAATTAATTCGCTTGAAATACACCGTTTTGCCGCAAACCATCCCCGCTACCACGCGCGCAAGACAGAAAATTAATTTAGCTTTGTTGCACGCGAGAGTCTCGCTCTCCTGTCCGATTTCCGCCGTCACGCTCGTCCCGATTCTTTCGTTTTCTCTCGACGCGAGCTCGCTTCAACGGTTACGATTCGCTCGATAACGGAATTGATCACACGATGCTCTGCCGAATCCCGTCAAGAATCGCGTCAGCTTCCGACATGCGACGTCTAATTATAACCGATCGCACTTTCGGGAGAAAGGAAAAAGGTTGCCTCGGATTCGCCGGCATAATCGACGCCTCGGTCGTCGATTATGCAACCGGTGCTCTCTCGGCCGTGAGTAAACCGCCCGAGGAGCCGTGCGCGCACGCCTGAGGCTCGGGCCGGCACGGTAATTATGTACGAAATTCATTAGCCCGTGTAAATATAGAGAGCGAACGCGGGCCGGGTACACAGACGCGCGCGCGTCGTCGCACAATGTGCGCCGTCCCTCCGACCGGCCACGCGCTGCTCAAACGAGCGAGATTAAAGGCCACGCACGAATTTCACGCTGATGTCCCTCGCGAGCAATCATCGCTCTACGTCGTCTGTTTTTTTCTTCTTCCTCGAGCGCGAAGCTCGGACGATACGCGAGAGAATTCTGCGCACGCGTTCTGCCACCTGATACGTCGCGTCGCGAAACGTTTTCGTGGTCGCGCTCTCGCGTTGAGGCTTTTCCCAAATTGAATGTCGCTGTCGCATTTAACCGTCCTCTTGTACGTGATAGCAAGATTGCGAGTTTTCCTCCCTTGTCCTCCCCCGACTTAATCGCAAGGAACATTCGAAGTGCACCTGAGTGAGAGAGAGAGAGAGAGGGTTGGAGGGAGAGTGCGTCGTTCTTGTGTTCCAAGCTTACAAGCGCATGGCCGCCGCTCTCTTCGCACCGAAGTCATGAGGAAACCCGCGATTTTTCTTGTGCAGTCCCTCGACGGGCAAAACATCTACAACTCCTGCTGCACGCTGCGCATCGACTACAGCAAGATGCAGAACCTCAATGTCAAATATAACAACGACAAGTCCCGGGACTACACCAACCCGAATCTCCCGACCGGCGACGCCAACCTGGACGCGGCGTCGATCGCCCTCAGCGGCGAATTGCTACCCCAATTGCTCATGGGTGCCGGTTCCCAGCCGCGTGCCAGAATACCCGGTGAGTATTAGTGCGCCCTATAATTATTAACGCACTCACCCTTTGGGCGCATTACATTGTTATTATTACTGTTGTTATCATTAATATTATTATTAATATTATTAATATTATTAATATCGAAACTTATTAACTTTTGCATAAACTTACATGAACTTATTAACTTGTCATGTGTAAAACGCTAATCATCATATTATTAACTTACTGAAATTCATTGCGCTCAATAATTACAATAGCTGTGCAACACATCGCGATAATTTGTCGAGCCAATTGCGCGAATCCCAATGGTCGACTTCGGAGATACGCGTTTGACTAATCGGATAAATCGCGCGAACGCGTGTACGAAGGAGAGCGTCGAACGAGTTCGTTACACGTGGCGCATAAATAGCGAATGCGTTAATTTCCCATGAATCCATGTAACGACCTCGGTAATAGCCGTTACAATACCGTACTTCACAACGAGCGCTCTCGAGATTCATTACCATTAGACGTCAGTCAGAAATTGCAACGGCGAGATTGGACGCGAGGGAGCGAGCGAGAGAGGAGACACACACACACACACACATAGAGCGGTTTTGATCGTTTCCCCGTCACGCTGGGTGCGCGCATGGCTCTTGTATTTTTCGCTCACCGAAAGCTCTCTCCGGACCGCGAGAGAAAACAATTGGAAGCTCGATCGAACAATTAGCGGCGCTATCGCGCGACGTTACATTTATTGGAATTAATTACATTAATAGCGATACCGATTTTCCGTCACTCGCGCACGTCGCGCTGAATTATTATTTCGCGAAACGAAGCGGCCAGCAATTTGCCGCGCATTTCAAACTCTCCGCCGTCCTGTCCGTGCCGCTCGGACGTTATTATTTCCTCGGGTAAATTAATTAATTACAAAGTGCCGGGGAAGCGATCCGGCTTGCTGCGCGCTGCCGGCGCGCCGAATCGTCTGGATTTTTGCGTTTGTGCCGGCGACAACGCTACTTTAAATTACACGCTTCGCCGACGCTTGTTTGGGTTAAATTAATTTCACGGCGTTGTTGGTGTTTAATCTGTAACGGTGTAATCCACTTTACGTCCTATCTCGTTGTGCAAACAGTTCGGCTGATGACTGGCGATCGAAAGATCCACGGTGAGGTCGTCCATAGCGGCGAAGGGACAAAACCGATCGGAGAAATCCCAGTCCGATTGATCGCGTGTAAAGATTTCAGAATTCACAGTTTGAGTCACTCAGTCCGCAATAGGCAAATGGGCATGGCAATAGGAAGTTTTTTCTAGTCCTTTGCTCTAAGCTGTAAAATGTAACGTAATTTTTTGACAAAAAACCTTTCCCGCGTTGTCGCTTAACATAACTTCCGGTAGTGCTGGAGACGCTTTTTACTAGAAATTACAATTTAGTGCTCAGAGCAAAAACAGAGGTAAAGATTTACTATACTATTATAGATCCAGACTTTACGGGATCGCGTCGAAAGAATGGTTCGGCGATTTGAAACCATGAACAGAGCGGATATTTAAAGCAAACAAATAGCTGAGTATCCCGAAAACAATTGGCTCGCGGTTGCTTGTTTATTGAAACATCTGTCTGTTTTTTTTTTTTCTTCGAGCTTCTATTACTCTGTTGGTTGAAACTTTTACTAACCATTCTGGAACCACTCTCTCGGTTACGAAGGCACGTGTCTCTCTAGAGATTCTAAACGCAAAGCCGCCCCCGCCCAGCCCCTTCAAAAGGTGTACGCTCGACAATGATAATAATCTCATTTGAATTTCCTGAAGTAGAGTCCATTACAGGGGCACCGAGTGTGCTACCCACACCCTTCGCGGCTATGCACGGCCTTCCGTCTCCTTTGGCTGGTCCTTACAACGGTGTACCTCCCGCAGGAGGACTTGCTGGCCTTAGCGGATTCCCTCTTGGCGCTGCTGGTCTCGGGGTGCGAGTGCAAGGAAGCGGACAAGCATCGGCGGTACTGTTGGTCAGCAATCTCAACGAAGAAGTAAGTGGCTGGGCTTTCGAGTCCCCCGGCGCGTCGCTCCCTTGGCATTAAGGACGAGAGGCCATACGAAGACCTTCGGCGAGGAGGCATACACGAAGAAAAAGCGGACGGGCTCGTGCACGACTTCATTTATCCACAGAGATCCCTCTCGCTCGAAGCAGCGCTTGATCCAATGTCGAGAGTGTTGGTGTTAAAAAATGAGACGGACCGACCGAGCGAGTGTCCGTTGGAAAGGGAAGAGAAAAAGAGAAAAGGATGCATTGCAAATTTCGCGAGAAATCTGCGTGAGAAAAGGCGCGGCTTCCAACTTTCGCGATAAAACGGAGTAATTACAGAGATGGATACGTGTATAATTTTCCAACGACGTAATTTCCCGATAAAAGTACAGTCTCTCCATTAGTGAAATATGGATAGTCCGGTACGAGCTCGTACCGCTGAAAGCCGCTGGATATTCTTCGTGCATTTTCCATCAGTCGGAAGCGCACGGAACGCCGGCGAGGCGGAAGATCCGCTTCTATCGAGCGTCGTGGCCGTTTGACTATTCGTCTCAATCAGAACGAGCGTCAATGAGATATAACAGAATCGGCTTTAGACATTCACGCATCCGTCTCTTATCTCCCGCGTGTCGTAATAATCTCGATTCTTCGTTAATATCACTTGAAGTCATTTTCCCTCGTTTGCACGTAATTTCTCGATCCTCCGAGGGGGTCTACCCTCGAAGCCGGTCGTGATCGGAACGCGAATGCAAGCGCAAACGCGAGGCAACAGCGGGAGAAGCAGAGTTCTGTGCGATGGAAAGCGTGCGTTCAGCGAGACGAAGCGTTAAATGGCCCATGCACGCACGCACGCACGCACGTGTGATGGGGGTGTTGCGCGTCGTCTCCCGGGTATGTCGCGGAGCAGCACTGAGAGAAGTAGACCGCTGCCGCGAATAAGTGTGTCGTATGCGAATAATACCTGTAGTGTGGCATTCTCGTCGTGTTCTCTATGCAGTGTGTGTGTGTGTGTGCAACCTCCTGGTTCTCCATATCTTCTATCGCGAGAACATAACCGCCTTTTGCGATACACACTCGCGCACACATACGCACATACACACGCGCGACAACTCTCTTCTTCATCTCTCTCCCTTTCTATCTATCTATCTGTACCTTCTCACTTCTCTCCTCTTCTATGGCATCTTCTCGTTTCCCGTCTCGGGCTCGTACTCTCTCTCGTCGCTCAACCCCGTAAGAGACCGCACGCTATTTCTCTCAATGTGCGACGCACTGCGGCGTCCAACCTCCCAATTTTATCCGGTATATACGCACGTGCATACACGGCCTAACGAACGAGTTACAACGTAGTGCTACGTAGGCGAACCCCGCAGTCTCTCGATCCTCCGGCTCGATCTTTCCGTCTTCGNCCCCTCCCCCGTGGGATACACCGGCTCAACCGGTGGGGAAGATTAACCGACGTGTATCATCTGCGACGCTAAATTTCATCTTTTTCAAGACGAACGCTCTCTCGTGTTCGTCTGAAAAAAGGAAAACGAGGTCGAAGATCGTGCAATTTCCGCTTGCACTCCTGCTCAGATTTTAGTTTAACTATGGAAGGGTGATTGTCGCAAAGTTACGAAGACGCACTGTTCGCAAAGCCGACGGTAGAGAAATGATAGCGAGTGAAACAGGTGAATGTTGTGGATCGAGGTAAGAATCGATGTGTTTTCTACGATCGATCGAAGAAAACGCACCAGCACCTGGCGCTCGTCCGATCTCCGATTGATCTGGTAAGAACCCCCCGAGATTCCCCGAGATCGTCCCGCTCGGTAAGGTGGAAGGATCGAGTCCCGATGCGTATGTGCCCTGTTTCGTCACAAGACCTTTGACTCTATTCTCCTTCTACCTCTGCCCCCGCTCATTTTCGAAACACACATACAAATCACTCCAACGTCACCATCCCGCGCCCTAATTAATTCGTACCGTCGTCGACTACGACGTTACTTTCTGCTGAGGTGACGTTTATCGCGCCGGAATTCTCTGAGCCAGGCTTTCCGCGAGAATCAGTACGCTTCTGCTCGTTTCAACGAGTCTGTATTTTCCCGCGAAATACGCTGTCATCTGACGTTGGAAAGACGATCGATAGAATCGAGAAGGAAACATCGGCGGGATGATAAATGTCGCCTCGGTAAGAAACTGTGTGTCGACGTCACACTTCGCAGCTGCAACTTGTCACTACTGTACTATAACTGTGTGTACTACTATCGTTGCGTCGCGCACGAGCCTCGATGATCTCTCGATTCTCCCCCGGGTCTCGGCTCTTTCGCGAAGTGAATTTCTTTATTATCACGTTAATACATCTCCGTCGTACGGTGGGTCCGCTGGAAAATGGAGCGCGCGATCGCGCGAGAATAAAATCGATGGGAGACCGTGCAAAAATAAAAGTCAATCTTATACGCTTCATCATCGCCGTTCTCTTGCTTCGCTGCCGCGCGAAATTGGTCGTTGCTGAAACGCGCAACGAAGAGGAATTGATCCCGCGAAACGGAACAAAAAGAGCTCGAATCCCGTGCGCACGCGAACACTATACATTGAATCCTATTATACTCGCTGACTACTGACTGGACTCTGTCTGTTCTCTGTGTAGATGGTCACGCCTGACGCTCTCTTTACCCTGTTTGGTACGTCTCCACATTTATATTATTAATTATATTACATTATTAATTATTATATTTACACCCTCGCGTTCTCACGCATACGTTACACACGCGTGACACTGACACACACGACACGTACACGCACGTTAAACGTCAAAACACGGACACGCGACCCTACGACACACGCTCGGCTACTCACTCGCGCGTTTTCAGTAGAAATAAACGGAGGAAAGAAAAATAATAGAGATAGAGTAACGAAACGAAGAGAATAAATGAGTAAAATGGACGCGAAAACATTCGTCCGGAAGGAAACTTTGATTTTTTCCGGCCACTCGCGAATATTCTTCGCGATGCGAGCAAGACACGCGACATGCACACACACATACACAGATCTACACGGACACTGCACAGATTTACACGTATACATACACAAACGTAGAATTTCTCTCACACGATCGTCACGTCCGAGATTTACGTCATACCGAATAGGAGAGATTTCCCCTGTTTTCTTTTCTTTTTTATTTTGTTTGTTTTTATATTTGCTTTTTTTAATCTTCTCGGCAAAATTTACAAAACTCGATCATCTCGTCACTCTTTTTCTCTCGTCATACTCGTTTTACTCTCGTGTAACATCCGCCGTACATTTTTTTCTCCAAATCTGTCGTATTCTGATTTAACGTTTAATCCGTATTCTTCCGATATTTTCGTGATTTCAACTTATTTTATTACTACAAGCTATATTCCATTCGCAATTCATGATCACTGTCACCGCCATACACACTATACCGCCACATCGTCATTATATCGTCATTATCGACTACCACCGACACGTTCTCTCACATTCTCTATTTCCAAGCATCTCTTCTAAATTATTTCATTAATATTTTATTAATATCAGTTCCACAGACAACCTTAATATTACGTAAGCTTTCGCTTAATTTACGTAATTCCATAGGAACTCACTATTAACGAGGCACGCGATTCGGCTGTCGGTGCATTTTTCCACAAACGATTAATTAATTACGCGATGAGCGCGAGAGTCGCGTGCGTCTGAGAGAGCGTTATGTAAAAATTCTCAAAACTTCTTTTCATCTCATAAAGGCATTCATCTCTATTGCAACTTTTCGAGTCAGCGAAAATGTCACGACTCGTTGGTAAACAAAGAACTTGGGTGAATCGTGTACTTAATTATCTCGTTGCGATGTAAAAGATTTCAAAAGTTACTCAATAATTGTTTCCGTTCTTTCACCGAGACGTCATGAAAACAGAATCTGGCGGAAATTTGTCGGAAAATGTTTGGAAAGCCTGAAATTGAGAAAAAAGTGTTTGGATTATTTTTCTGCTCTAAAAAACAAAGAAACTGTCGATAACAATATGGTAATGATCAACGTCATTTTTCTATGACGTTAAATTGAATTCGTCAACCACCGTGTGCTCTCGTAAAGTGAGATCTCCAGCCGAGTCGCTCGCCTCCTGCATGTCCCGATTCTTAGATCCGATCGTACCCCGATCTCGATCGACCGAATATTGTCCCATTCATCTTCGATAATAATCCTTAGGCGCAGTCTTTAATAAATAAATATATGTCGTGTGCTGCGGCTGCGCTCAAGTATACTAAAAGGGAAATTTGCGTATTGTGCATATAGGCGTTTACGGGGATGTACAGCGTGTGAAGATTCTCTACAACAAGAAGGACTCGGCACTAATACAGATGGCCGAACCTCATCAGGCACTTTTAGGTAAGTTCGTGCACTCGGTGAAACTCTCGACGCTTGCGATGACTCGAGGTTGCGTTTCGTTCGACAGAACGGTTGTTAAGTTTGCCTCAAGAAAAATTAATTCGCCCAAAGGAAAATATTTGCTCCTCGAATGAGAAGGTTCATAAATTTATCTTCAGGATTACGATCGTGATGTAATTTTGTATCGCGGCATGGATGTGCGTGTGTGAACGTGAATCGTTAGTGAACGTCGTACGTTTGATTTACATGACAGCGTTGACCCATATGGACAAATTGAGAGTGTTTGGGAAGCAAATCAAAGTAATGCTCAGCAAACACCAAACGGTCCAATTGCCAAAGGAAGGTCAGCCGGATGCGGGCCTGACGAAGGATTACACCAACAGCACGCTTCACCGATTCAAGAAACCCGGCTCGAAAAATTACCAAAACATCTATCCACCAAGCGCGACCCTGCATTTATCGAACATTCCGTAAGTGATGCGACAATCGTACTCTTGTACCGCGCGAAAATCAAGTGGATTATGCGTTCGTATGCGAAATATCTTAAGATGTTTTAAATAATTTTTATCTGTGCCCCTAATATTTATTTATTTGCAAAAAAAAGAACTGCAATCATCGAGAGAGAAAAAATATTCGCGTCGAATTTTCGTCTCGGCGGCTTAACGACATTTATCTCTGCAGAGCCACGGTAGCTGAGGAAGAGATCAAGGATGCTTTCACCAAGAACGGCTTCACTGTGAAAGCCTTCAAGTTCTTCCCAAAGGACAGGAAGATGGCTCTCATACAGATGCCTAACATGGACGATGCCGTGGCTGCGCTGATCGTAAGTAGCTTTCGCAATTAACTCGTTACCACCGAAGCGGCGGGCGATAATCCCACGTGACTGGAAATAAAACCCCTCGTGGTGTCGTCGCTATGAAAAAGAAGACGCGCTCCTCTGTTGAGCGCACTTTCGTCCATCGTCGTGCTAAATTCTCGAAAAGTATAAAAGCACCGGAGAGAGAGGAAAAGATAGAAATTCGATATAAAATCCGATGGATTCGACCGGTTATTTCAGTGTCGCGGCAGATCCGCTTCTCCCGATCGAAAAGCAACTAACTCCGGGGGTGTTTTTTTGTTCTTCGTTTTTACAGAAAATGCACAACTACCAGCTCAGCGAATCCAACCACCTCAGGGTGTCATTCTCGAAGAGCAACATCTAACAAGAATCGCCACCACACGAGCAGCAGTGGTACCAGCCCTACGCCCTAGTCCCCCTTTGGTCACCCGCTTCGGTCTACGACTGATGGTCCCGCAGTTGGATCCGCTCAGGTGCTCGTCCGTTCCAGTGAAAATTGCAACGCGCTGGTCGTTTGTCGGCCGCATTGTGCCGCAACCTCCCGTACGGGACTCTATCGCACACTCGGACTTTGAAGCAGCACAAGAGGACAGGAGCTACCTCCTCCGAGCGAGCTTAGGATGCTTTCGAGGCCTTGTCCTTGTTGGGACGTATTTACGGCACGAATGTGTCCCCGCATCCGGTTGATTCTATCGATTCGAGGGTTGCTAGGGTGTTTTAAGAGAACAAGAGAGAGAGAGAGAGAGAGATATATATATACATATACATACATACTACATAAAATGCTAGGGCTGCAAGTGCTGAAGCTAAAACGGCGAAACCAAGCCGACAAGTCCGCGACGGCCTTCTCGATAGTAATTCCGGTGCTGGCTTTCGAGCGTGGTGCGCGCGACGATTTCGTAATATCAGGTGAAGAAGAAAGAACCTTTTCGATGATGACGATCGCGTGAGAGCGCGATCGAACACTTTCGTGAAAGCCAGGACCGTCGCGACCGTGAAGAGGAAGAAAATGTAGAGAGAGAGAGAGAGAGAGAGAGAGAGAGAGAGATAGGTAGAGAAGGAAAAAAAATGGAAAAAGGCGATGGAAGGAAGATCCCCGGCTCTGCCGGATGGATGCTGGGAGGCATACGTGAAAACAAAAGAGAAGAAAAGAGAGGTAGGTTAGGATTAGACGGGAGCGAGGAAGCGGCACACAGCTGACGGACAGTCCTCGACTCTTGTACAGAGTTTACGCTAGGGAAGATAAGACCTATATTATTGTACATGTAAAATCCACGATCGCACGGGTCTCGGTCGCCTCGACCGCGGCGCCGATCGCCACACTGATTACGGTTAAGGGTTTTTTCAAGTTGCACGGACACAAGGGCTTGCCGTTTCGGCGCGCCCGTGTAGATCGGTTTCGGGAACCAGGTCGCCGTCGTTAGCGTGTGTTTCGACGAGCTGGCGCGTGCGAGCGACGATGAATAGCACGAGGAGAGAAAGGAAAGGGAAAAAAACACGAAGTGTAGAGTGCTGCGCGGCCAGGGTGCTCGATGATCGTCTCGCTCGTCGTGCGCGCGACGCGTGAGTGGGATCCGAGCAGCAGTGGGGCGACTGCCTCGCGCGAGACAATCTTCTATTCCAGCGACACACTTAGCACACTTCTACCGCGGCAGTACGACGACGAGCGACGCGAGCATCGAGTATCGCTCAGGTATACGCTTGATTTCTAAATCGAGCGCGTTATAAGAGTAAGAAAAATGTCACGGGACCCTTGCTGCAGCTTTCGCGAGGTTTACTCCGCCGGCGAACCGATCGTCCTCTCCGACTTCGTCTTCGCGATTCGAACGATGCGACGAGGCACAGGGACACGATGGAGTAGATGGCTTCGTAGTTCCTTTTTAGATCAGCTCTCGTTTACGGCATTCATCCGAGGTCGATCCGTTCGCGAGGCGGAAGCGAAGCAATTATCAAAGTCGTTCGTTGCGTGCTGAAGGATATTCGGAGGACGTGCCGAGCACGTCCGGCCCGCGCTCGACCTACGTTAATGCTTCTTCGAGGACGCGAGTCCCTCGTTCCTCGAAGGTACCTTCAGTATTCTCGACTGTCCGGCGAAGTCGAACGCTTCTAGAAGGGGTCGAGAGCCGGGCCGCCCGATCATTCGGCCGAGATCACCAAGTCCCCCCGCGCGCTAGCCCATGCGGCGCGACGTTTGCGTCGTACGGTCGTCGCAGGTGGCATTTTTATCATTTGTACGTTTCAGTTCGGAGATAAGTATTATCGCACCCGCACACGCGTCTTCACGAGACCGTACGATTACGCAGTCATACACACACACACACACACACGACACGTCGCATACAATGCCGCGCTCGAGATAAATTATATCTACCGCCCCCTGATTTCTACATACACACGCATACACACACGTACACAGATGCATAGGTACAACTCGCAGATTTCTTAGTTAGAATAGGTGCTTAGGCATGTGTTAGGATCTTAATCGTATAGTAAGCGACGAGACAAGTAATCGAGATTAGGCGGAAAGGCACTGCTGTGTTAAACATATCGCTAATTAAAAAGTTTGCTACGTGCGAAGAGCGCGCGCAGAGAGAGTGTTATTTGAGGCGGATCGGCGGGTGCTACTCGGGTCGCCTTGAGGATGGTGCGCGCGCGATGGATGAGAGTGAACGCGATCCATCGCGCGACGAGCGCGATTTATCTATCACACTGAGAGTTCCTGATATCCAAGCATTCCTTCGGTAGTCGACGGTTGTGAGAGGGTAAAGAAAGAATGAAAACACAAAACAAGCAGGAAAAGCACCTCGGACGGGTGTGCCGTGTCCGTTCGCGAGTGGACGCGAGGATGAGGAGGAGGCAGCGATCGTTTTGGCCGACGGACACGCGTCGGCCGAACGCGTATAAATTCGCGAATTCGAATTCTCGTATAACCAAGCTAGATCCATAGAATCGTATTAACGGGGAATAGGTAGAGGCGAGCAACAAATTCGGTAAGGACGGTCCTCGAGGAGCTCGGGAGGTCCTCGCCGAGAAGCTACGCGTGACGGAGCTTTGATCGAGCGCCGCGACCACGGGGATTCCCCCAGTCGTTCCTCGTCGGGAGGCGCGCGCGCTCGGCTAAAGCCCGCGTATTTCTGTCTGATCGATGTTCTGTTGGAGTCAATTAAATTTTACTGATATAACGTAACTGATCGTAGAGAAGAAAGAAGAGAACAAAGAAAAAGGCGAAAACGCGTCGTGGAAGATTGTTGTTGAGGCGTAAATGAGCATGAACGAGAGAGAGAGTAGCGAGAGAGTGTGAGCGAGTGCGAGAGAAAGGTATTTGCGTGGAAGATGTTCGCGAGAGAGTAGTATTGCGCGATATAATGGATAAACTCTATGCTTAGAGGGGAGGGAAGAAGTTTTCAAGTCGTGTTCGCGCAGCAACACCGTACGAGGCATGGGAAAGTGACGAAAATTCGAAACAAAAGCGAATGCCGGCCTGGGCAGAAAGAAAGATAAATAGATAGGGAAGGTGGGAGAGAGTGTGTGTTGTTTGTGCCAAAGTAGGCTAACCGTTAAAAAAAAAGAAAAACTTTAGAATGGGATCTCTTGGTGAGCCGTGCGAACGATATTCATGTTCGATTGCGCGCGAACGCCGATTCTCAGGTTCCAAATGGCGCATGCAATTTCTCGCGATGGACCCGAATCGGCGTCTCGCCGATCGAATACCGACCAATCAGCTAGTTGTTTAGAGACGTAGCGAGTAGCCGGCATGAGCGAAGGGGCCAGTCTTTGCATCTATGATCTGTCTTTCGGACCTCTGATACTACGTTATTTACTTCGACTGCATTTATACATTCTAACGTGACACGTTCCGAGCACACTGGACCGTAAAATCATCGCCTATCACGAGGGGCATAACGAGAACAATACGCCCGTAAGTAATCGACACACACGCACACTTACGAACAGAGACATACACACACACACTTGCACGATTATATCCACGCACACGCAAACTTTTCAGCGCGCGATATAGTTTCTGCTTTTTCTTCCACCTCGCCTGACGGATTGATCTTTCTCGTTTTAATCGACATCCTTAACGTCGACTGTACATTGATCTGAAATTGAAGCAAGAGAGGCGTTTTCAGACTTTTCCTTATTCGAATCGTTTTTTCGGCCACACTCGCGTTTCGATCGTTGTACTTTTTAAGAGTCTTGCGCCGGTACTTTTTTTTTAGCCAATTGCGCCCGATACTTCTTACGTTCTGGACACGACCGACCTTTCGTTTGTATCTCCTCGGTTGTTGCTGAATGTCACGAGGCGTAGCGTTATATTGTATAGTGCCACAACGGGGAAGAGAGAACCGTGCGGGCCTCCCGTGCAGTCCTACTTCCGGCACGATATCGTCTAAGCGTACCTGAAAAGCCTCATAAAACGTTGCTCGACTTCGAGCTCTTTTATCCTCCGCGAGTCGCAACGTCGGAGCACCCACCAATCGCCGCCAGGTTGCTAATTGAATTTTCTACTTGTCTGCCGTTTCTTAGCACATTCCCCTGTCGCCGCGCAGCCACGCGGAACCACACGATACACACGTCACCGTGCTGGATTACCCTGAAATCGATCGACAGACGTTTCTCGCCCCGATACCAAGTGACGTCGGTGAGAATGTCGATCGTCGACGATGCGTCATCTCGCACACACCCACGCACGTAAACAAAACACACAGCCAATATTTCCTTCTTCCTTCGGAATCTCTTTACGCAGGGCGACTGACCGTCGTCGCCTTTTCTTTCCTCGCAGGATCCACCGCGTTCCAATGGCGACAATCAATCAGCTCTTCTGCTCGCGAGGGGGAATCAGCGCGAGGTTCTCCCGTTAATTGCCAAAGTAAACTCGTTTTGCGAACGGCGCGCGAGTCGACTCTCATTAAGGAACTATTAGTAGAAACGTCGTAATGGAAACGGGACAGCTGTATTATTATGGGCCGTAGACAATCTACAGGGTGCCCGACGTTAAGATCGCACAATCATCCGGTTCACACCCGCGCCGCGTCGCACGACACGCTAGGTCGGCCTTCCTCCTTTCCGCTCGGACAGTCCTCGCGTGATAGGCAAAGAAGAGGCACCCTGTAGACGGATAGATCGACTATATCACTAGCTGGGTTGAGGGGGGCCGAGGTGAGGGTTGGAGTAGCCAGCACTCGCTACATGGTGTCGTAGATATTCAGACTCCGAAATTTCCCAAGACTCGTCGCGCGCGAGGAATCGTTGAGCCTATGGATCAGTGGAAGGGGAGTCATCCCCGCGCGGTAGATGCCAAAATCGCTTGCCGGGAGGACGATACCGATCGAAACGGCTCTCCGTCGCGACGTCGTGTCTGAGATAATACTTTTCGCGGACTCGGCGATCGGTTCGTCCTTCGCTCCGGTCGAGGGAGGGTCGCGAGTGGAGGAGATCGGTGGGCACGACGCGGTGTAAAATTGCACTTGGACCAAGGAAATTCGGGGTCTGGTAGAGAGCCACGCATTAGACGAAGCTTAGCCTACACACACACACACACACACACACACACACACACACACACACACACACAGAAGGTATACTATAAACTATATATATTATATATTAGGTAAGCGTATACAAGCACACACATGCACACTCCTCAGACGCGAGTCTCACACAACACACACATACACACACGACTTGTATCTACTATATATTTGATATATCGCATTGTAACAGGTGTGTCCAAAATGCGCCGCGGCTGCATCTCGATATAATCTATATTTTATTAATAAGGGATAAGTCTAATAGAGAGGAAACAGAGAGAGAGAGAAGGTTACGTTACTAACGTTACGGATTATCACATAAATTAGAGAGAAGTTTAATCTATATGAATTNATATATATATGTATATATATGTATATATATATATATATATATATATATATTGTATAATGCGGCGGAACTCAAGTACACACACGGAACGAAACGGGGAGGGAGAGAGACAAAGGGAACGCACGTATACATGCACAGATCACACACGTACCCATTACACGCAGTGTTTTCAGCGCG